AGCTCTTTTTATTCCAGTTTACCCACACCATTCATTGTTTGTTTGCGCTGTTGATGAATGATCTTTGGCAGGTGTCGGGGTGACCAGCTTCAACAAAAATACTACTTACCAGGGTAGGGGTATGGGGATCAGAAAAACAGTAAAGAGAGGGAAGATGCAAGTGAAATAATAAACCAGAGACATAGGACAGTGTCCGGAGGGAGCTCCAGTGAGTACTGAATTCCCTGCATTTAATTTTCCATACACTTTTATACCCCAATACAAAAGGGGGAAGAAGGCAACAAAAGACTTCTTTAACACAATACAAAGGACAACTTGAATAGTTCTTTGTTTCAATACCTTGAGATATCAAGTCATTAACATTCTGTTATTTAGGCAGTGAACTCACCCTAGACCAAATATCTGAATACAGCCACTCCCAAGGTCAAACCTCCTGTTCAAAAGAAGGAGCAGAAGTATGCTTGCACATCCTGACCATTTTTCAGGGTGGAGTGGCTCTCCCTGTATGGGCACTCAAAGTCAAAAGAAACAGGTAACCACATTCTGGGTCAGGATTTGTAGCCCTGGTTGTTGTCAACAATTTTGTGCATTCTCAGACTCTCTGACCTTCAGACAAGGTAGAAACCGGCTCACAGTTTTGGGCCTCCATAGGTAGCTGCCTCCTGTTCCATAGCATTTTATTAGTAAATGTATATATTCTACTTTTAAAATAGTTCTAAGCTTGGGTGTCTGAACAACTTGAAATTCTACTGAACATTTCAGGAAGGATTATTTTAATTCTTCTTTCTATGGTTGCTATCAAAACTCAAATCTTTACCTTTCAGTAATTTGATTGCAATATATCTAGACTTGGATTTTTCTGAGTTTATGCTGTTGGATTCTGTTGATCATCTTATGAATTTATATCTGTTGTCATACTGTGGGACTTTTTGGTTAGCTGCCATCTCGCAGTATGTTTGTGCACCACACTACCCTCCTCTTCTGAGTTACAGGAAACCATGTCAATGCTTTCAGTTTTGCTTCCCCACCCCAGCAAGGTGCTTGAAACTCTATACATGCTTTTTATTTGTGTGTCTCTTTTAATTTTTGTTACTTGATTTTCCAATGATGTTTTTCTGTGGTTGAGACTAGAGACTTGTTTAGATCATATTTCTATGGATATATGCTCATCCGAGTCTTTCCTTACTCATTTCAGTCTATCAGACTTACTCAGTAACTGGGAGGTTGTATCATGTTTTATCTTTTTCAAATAATTATTATACTATTCAATTCTGCAATTTTCATCTTCTCATTCTTCATATAAAACTCATGGAACTGTAAACCTTCAAGGGTAGATTCTGCTATGCTAAATTATCCCCCAACAAGTTTATGCTTTTAAAATCACTGTTGTGTTATATATATTTTTGTTCTTTTTAAAAGAATATGATGATAAAATGTCCCGGGCAGCTTATGGAGCAGCTGCAAGTGGAAGCGCCATGCAGTGGGGGGGGGGGGAAGTCAGGGTCCCCGGGCGAGCGGCAGAGTCAGGC